GACTCTGAATCATTGAAACGAGTCGTTTTTAAAACGAATCCCAAGCCGTTTCATGTTGACGTCAACATGAAACATTAGCATATTGCCCGCCCACTTGGGAATTGGTATGAATGAAAATGCAAATTCATTCTTTGCCACTAGATGCCGCTTTTGGAGCGGTAAAATAGCTGTTCCCCGGTAACGGCTGTACACAAAGCAGCACTGCGTTCACAAACGCTGCTTTATCAGGCATTACAGGCTTGATGAAATGAAAATGAAATCGACCAATCGGTCAAATCACTGCAGATTAGAGTCACGCAAAGGAGGGGTTTGGAATAATGAGTCTTTGAGCGAATCATTTGGGAGTCGTTGAGCAAGTAAGGTAAAAATAAATGCATATTATAAGACAATGAAAGTGTTTTTTGACCTTGCATGCATGTCAGCCTGTTGTTGTGGACTCCCGAAACCAAAATATGAACCTTTCATAGCCCATAATTGGGGGACTTTAAATATGCATATTAGAATGATTTCTGAATGATCATGTGATCAGGTGGAGTAATGGCTGCTGAAAATTCAGCTTTGCCATCACAGGAATAAATTACATATTCAAATATTAAATCAGAAAATGGTAATTTTTAAATTGTAATAATATTTCACAATATTACTGTTTTTACTATATTTTGATCAAATAGCTTAATCAAAGCAGCCTTGGTAAGCCTAAGAGAATTTTCAAAAACATAAAAAAAAAAACTGACCCCAAATATTTAAATAATAAATTTATAGTTATAATATGGCATTGTCAAAATACTAGTTATAGTATGTTCACTATTGGTGTTTATTAGTGTATTACTTTTTTGCTGCAGGTGCTGGAGGTGTTTGAGAATGAGCGATTCTTCCAAATGGTCATGGAGAAACATGGGGATGGGCTAGACCTGTTTGAGTTTATCGACATGCAGCCGAGACTGGATGAGCCTCTAGCAAGCTACATCTTCAGACAGGTGAGAAACAGGCTGTGAGAACTGTTGAGATGTTGTAATTGGATCACTTTTTTTCTGATGTATATATTTCTGTACTTAGTTGGTAGCCGCAGTGAGTTACCTGCGTGGCAAAAGAGTGCTCCACAGGGACATAAAGGATGAAAATATCATCATAAACTCTAAATTCCACATCCGGCTGATCGACTTTGGCTCTGCTGCCCTGCTGGAACCCGGAAAGCTCTTCTACACCTTCTGTGGCACTCTGGAGTACTGCTCTCCAGAGGTGCTTCAGGGAAACCCGTATGTACTGAAACATCACACAGCCCGTCTCCGTTCCATCTGTGCGTCTGAGATTGATAAGGGCAGAATACAGTATAGGATCAAGTGGTTAAGGGTCTGAGAAGGGTAACATAAAGGTTATATATTCATGTCTAGCAACACATTAACTACAGTATGACTGAGATCACCACGAAGCCCTTGAACATTCATGTGCACAATTCATCAGAGCAGGTCTTTCTTTATTTTCCCTCAATAAAAATGTAGTGACTTAACATTTGTTTTTTTATTACATTTAGGTTTCATAAATCCTGTTTGGATATTGAAATAGGTTTGAATACCCAGTTTAACTTAGAAAAATGCAACATCACAATTAAAAAGGTTGTGAAATGCGATTTTTATGTTGACTTTAAGCCTTTGTAGGTGAATGCAAGAAAGCATTATACTTGCATATACAGGTTAAATATGAGACTTTTTAAAAAAAATTTATATGCATGTAGGTATGAGGGTCCAGAGCTGGAGATGTGGTCTCTAGGAGTGCTCTTATACACCTTACTCTTCAGTGAAAACCCGTTTTGCAGTGTGGAGGAAACCTTGCAGGCCCGACTCAGCCCTCCATGCCAGATATCTACAGGTTTGCAGCTCTGCTTCATCACAGCCATGAAGACTGACTGGAGACACATGACTAATTTGGCTTTATTCAGGGTTTTTGTGGGTCTTAAAGTGTCTCAATTCTCCCTTCCACAAATGAAGGCATTAAAAGGGTCTTAATTGGAGCAAAAAATGAAGATCTTCCTCAGTGTTTTTGTCTTATTTACCAGTACATCTGTCTATATATCCATCTATCTATCTATCTGTCTGTCTGTCTATATATCTGTCTGTCTATATGTCTGTCTGTCTATATATCTGTCTGTCTATCTGTCTATATATCTGTCTGTCTGTCTGTCTATATATCTGTCTGTCTGTCTGTCTATATATCTGTCTGTCTGTCTGTCTATATATCTGTCTGTCTGTCTATATATCTGTCTGTCTGTCTGTCTGTCTAAATCAAGATGCATTTACTTAAGATGCAAAATGAAGATATGAAGTCTTGTTTTCTGAGAAATTGAACAAAATTGAGTTTATGCTTAAAATAGGACACAATATCTGTCAAAGAATACTTGTTTCCCTTTAAATTAAGTTGAATTTCTGAGCCTATTGGCAGATATTTGTTCTCATTTTAATCATAACAGTTCATTTTGAACAATTTCTCAGAAAATGAGACTTAGGACATTACTTTTTAAAATAAAACATGCAGAAACACCATTTATTACTGTTTAACCTGTTACATTGTTCTTGTTTTAGAGTTGTATGCACTGTTGGCTGGTCTTTTGCACCCAGTGGTTGATCAGAGAATGACTCTAGAGGAGCTCTTGGGGTCGCAGTGGATTCAGCAACCCATAAATCTCGCAGAGTACTCATGGGGAGAGGTCTTCCCCTCCAGCAACGGTAAGAGAATTGGTTTTAGGTTATTTCATCCACCAAAAAGATGATAATATTCAGCTCAAACACCATTTTCATTAAATCAAATGATGCAGAGCTTCATACATATACTTTCTCAGAATCCATAGGACATGTGGAGCCCAACTCGCGTGTGCACCGGGCAGACATCCTCTACCTGGACCCCGAAAACAATCTGAGCACATCAGAGGACACTCCATTTGAAGATGAAGATGATGAGGAGCAGAGGAGAACAATGGCGGCGCTGCAGTCTGAGCTGCTGAAATATCTCACCGACGAGTGAGGAACTGTTGTGAAAGAAACACTAATGCGTTCTGCTCAACTAATTATGACATTACATCTAATGTCACCATGAACACTAATGCACGATCTCTGCAGAACTCTCCCTCCACCTGCCGCTGTCCTCCTTGATGATAGCAGTCCGTCCAAAGAGCAAAAGGAAAGTGTGGCTGGGAATGGAAGCCATCTGTGTTGCTAAGAAACAGCTTTATCTCTGTGTTTGGTGAAGGAATAGGAGTGTATTTATCAGTGTGTTGTTGTTGTTTTAACCTTTCATGGAGTTTTTAAAACATTGTACTCTGAGATGTCGAATGTGCTTGCTGTTTGTTGTAATACTATGGTGTTGAGTTCCAGGATTGTCCTGTTAAAACATATGGCACATGCACTAGACCTGGATGAGGGTCACCTGAGCTTCAAGATATTTGTTATTAGGCCTTCAAAGCTTTAAAAGAATTTTAGGTTGATTTTTAACCTTAAATATTTTAATTATTTTTAACATTTCACTATTTATCCTATGAATAAATTGTTATTGGTATAATTTAATTTTGCTTTTGGTAGCTCTGGTTTTATTTCACATTGTACACAGGCTTTGTAAAGCCTCTATCAAATGTTAATATCAATGGGATTCTTCAATAAAATATTTGCATTTATAATCCGTTTTGTTTTCGTCTTCCGTTCAAACATCCGGAACTTTTGAGCTCTTACTGTTGTTTCAGTGCGGGAGTATTTTGACGCGGCACAGATATGGGTACACATGTATGCAGAAAACAGGTGAGGACGAAACGACAAAAGAAATATTTTACGTTATCACGTAAATTAGACGCTAGACTGAATATTCAACCACTGCTATATAGCTACCGTAAGAAATATCGCTATTTGTCACTTGGTAAGAAGCGGTTTCTTTGATTTGCTTGTGGGAATCATAGTAACATTCATTAACGATGAATCGCACAATAAAAACATTCAACAAATTAAAAAATAATAGCTTATTTAATATTATAATAGGATATGTAACTGCTAGAAAATCTGAGTAAAAAAAAACAACGTATGTTAAAACTAAGAATAGTTTTGCAAGAAACAACAGCTGCCTTTGATGCATGGAAGTGAAAGGTCACTGTTATACCTACTGAATATAAAACTATATTCTCTTAATGTAATTAATTACTGCACGTTCCTTTTTGAGTGACTACATCACACAAAAGCTAAAAGTTTATTAAAATAGTTTATATTAGCCCCTCAACAAATAGCTACAGCATCAGCAGTTCAATACACACACACATAATGGGGACTTGTCACAATTAGGAGACTCATTATTAATTATTAATTCTACGGGTTAAAAGTCCGATTATACAAATGCTAGTTTTCTGTAGCAGTGTTTCTGTAAGTTGGTTTCAAACACCGAGTTCAAAGACCTGTGCTATCTTCCGAATTGAAATTCTAATTTCATTTCATATTCAATTTACATTTAATCATTAAGCAGACGCTTTATCCAAAGCGACTTACAAGTGAGGAAAACAGAAGCAAACAAACCTAAATTCAATTTGCTTTATGCTCAGCTGCCACGGACACATTTTGTTTCATCCACTAATTTAAATATTTTGATGTAATGTTTGTACTGTAAAAGCTACAATTGAAAAACATTACACATGTAGTAATTTATAACATTTGCTATGCTCAGCTGCCACTTTCCACGGCCGCTGTTTGTGAACGACTGCCGCCTGCCATGGACTTGTATGGCTGCTGCCGCTGACCAGTTATATAAATTGTGGTAATGTTTGTGGCCTGCTGTAAAATCGACTGTATATGCAAACAATGCATAAACATTAACATTTACTTTACTCAGCTGCCGCTCTTTGTGGCTACGTGCTTTGTGCCAGCTGCCGTTGACCAGTTACTTAATTTGTGGTAATGTTTTTACTGCAAGCTTTATTCATACATAGTTTTAATAGTACAAACAATGGAAAGTCCATGACAGCTGCCATAAACATACAAATCTGAATTGACGGACAAAACGGCATTTAATAAAATAAAAAAATAAAAGCCCTCCAAGAACTAATATATATAAGAGCTGCTTTGTCTGTCAATTCAGATACATATACAAAGGAAATTGACTATTAAAAACCCCCATCAGCTGCTTAAAAGCCAAATGGCTCAGAAAAGTTAGTTCTGAGAAAAGCTGTAGCGTGGCTTTATATTTTCTTCCAAATATATTTAGTGTGTCCAAACATTTTGGGGCCATTATGTATTGAACTGAACAGCATTTGCTTCCTCCCTCTGTATCTCAGATGTTGCGATGGATGTGGGGATGGGGTGTTTGTCCTGTGGCGGTGAGCAGAGGTCATATGCCATTCTGCTCCACACAACAAGAGCCCCATCAAGCAAATCCATCTCACAGTGGTCAGGTCACCCACAGACCTGGGAATCAGCTCACCCTGTGCTCTTTGCTCGAGATGGGCTTCTCAGAAACTCAAGCCAAGGAGATGCATGAAGGTGCTACGAAGAGCCGTGGGAAACATGTTCCATCTGTTCTGACAGCACTATTGCTCCTGGGCTTAAATCCCTCCAGTATCCTGAAAATAATGCAGAAGTGTCCAGAAGTATATTCACTTAAAGGTGCAGACTTACAGCAGCGCATTGATCATCTGAGGAAGATGGGACTGGTAGAAGGTGATGCATCTTGTCTTTTAGTAAATTACACTGCTGTTCCAAAGTTTCGGGTCAGTAAGATTTGTATTATTAATTTTTTTTTTGTGAGACATTAATACTTATATTTGACTAAATTGTTAGAAAGGTTTATTTCAAATAAATACTGTTCTTTTTCATTTTCTATTCTTCAAGCAATTATGAAAAAAAGAGTATCATGGTTTTCACAAAAATATTAACCAGCAGCACAATTGTTTTCAACATTGATAATGATAAGACATATTTCTTGAGCAGCAAATCGGCATATTAGAATGATTTCTGAAGGATCATGTGACACTGAAAACTGGAGTAATGAAGCTGGAAATTCTGATTTGCATCACAGAAATAAATGACATTTTAAAATATATTAAAATAGCAAACAGTTATTTTAAATGGTATTAATATTTCACAATATATCTGTTTTAATGTATTGTTGGTCAAATAATTGCGAGAGCCTTTTTTTTTTTTTTTAAAGCTTAAAATATCTTGCCAACCCCAAATCTTTGAACAGTGGTGTAAATGTACAGTATATCAAATTATTGAAACATTATTTGGAAAATATTAACTTTAGTAATATAAGATAAACATATTTTAATTCAACTAAAATCTATTGGTGTAGAACTTTTTATAATAAATATTGTTACAAAGCAGTTTTGCAAAAAAAATGTAACAAACTATTTGAACATATGTTTGCAAGTAATGAGAGAAGATAAATAAAAATTAGGGCTGTCAAATCGATTAATCGCAACTAAGTGCATGCAAAATAAAAGTTCATGTTTACATTATATGTGTGTATACTGTATATAAATTCTGTACTGTATAGACATATTTACATTATATTTATTTATTACATATATTTCTTAAATATATACATGTATGAGTGTGTATTTATATATACATATAAATATACACACATATCATATAAACACAAACTTTTATTTTGGATGCGATTAATTGATTTGACAGCCCTAATAAAAGCTTTTTTCTTTTTTCGAAATTATATGCAGATTTTTGTTGTTTTTGTTCTTTTACCCCCTCACTATTCCACCTCTCTGAAATTTTCCATGGACCCTCTAGTGCTCCGCCGGGTGTCCATAGACCCCAGTTTGAAAGCCACTGATGGAGAGTTGTATGAAATCTGTCCACAGGTAGTCTGCAGAGGATGATCAGTCACTACCCCAAGGTCATGCTCCTGCCAGTCAAGAGGGTAAACATGGTGCCCCGACTGCTCAGAGAGAAATGCCTCTTCACCATCCATCAGGTCACAGACATCCTCAGAGACTCGCCTGAGGTTCTGGAGGAGGATTTGGCTCAGCTGGAGTACAAATTTCAGGTAGGGCTGGTATTTTTCACTAAAAGTTTTCCTGGCTCTGATGACAGTACAAAATTTGGGGGTAAACTGTCTGTGTAAATGCTGTTCTGATGACGTTTCGCTGTTGTGTGAGCTATTTTGGATCGCTGAAGATGCCATTTAAAGACACAATATGTTTTTTAGATTTTTTTATTAAAATATCCAAAAACCACTAGAACAGTGTTATATATTTTGCTGACTTGTGTACTTAAATGATCCCAAATGTTTCAAAGAATGTTTAAATCCAGAGAAATAAGCAATTTTAAATAGTGACACGGCCCGTTTCCATAATGTCATTGTGTCGCCTGCCAATGACGTCATAACCCCTCGATTTCCGGTTTTGTTTTGTAGAAAACATGGAAACACCAAAGACGCTTTA